AAAAAAAAAAAAAAAAAAAAAAAAAAAAAAAAAAAAAAAAAAAAAAAAAATATACTGATCGAATTGAGTAACCTCCTCCTTTTTCGAAGTCGGTTAAAAAGATCTCTACCGTAAATGTTAAAATTGTATCCCCACTACTGGGAGGATCCCCCTCGAAATCAGTCAAGAATGAAACGCGATCGGTTGCCGAAACGACGAAGATCGAATATCGGTGAGGCACATCTAATACAAGCAAAGGAAAAGATTGTAACTTTCTTATTTCTTACAATTTTTTCATGAAACGTTTACTCTCGTATTTGTCTAGATTTTCTGATTAAAATGACACCAACATGATACAATTACGTTAACAATTGTGTGTGTAACGAGTGATTAAAGTTTTTAACATAAAAGAGGACGGCGAATGGAAAAGAAAGAGAAGCAGAAAGTTGACGCGTTCGGCAAACATGAAACACTCGTGCGTCTTCTGTCTTTTAAATTCAAAAATCAAAATTCTTTATTTTTGGGGTTTCATCAATGAAGCTTTGATTATCGTATTCGTCTCGTTTTTCTGATTAAAATGATACCAAATACAGTATAATTAAAATCATAATTACTTGTATAGCAAGCCTTTAGAAGGAATTCGCACCTCTACCATAAATGTTAATCCCAAACTTTTATGGCTTGTTACATAAGTAATTACTATCGTAATCATATCGTGTTTGGTGTCATTTTAATCAGAAAAACGAGACAAATACGATGGTGAAAGTTCCATTGACGAAAAACCAAAAATAAAGAATTTTAATTTTTAAATTTAAAAGACAGAACACGCATGAGTCTTTTATGTTTGCCGAACGCTCGAAACTCTATCCCTCTTTGTCTTTTGTATAGCTGTCTCTTTCTACGTTCGGCACACTACAAAGAATGTAGGACCTCTACCGTAAATGTAACAATCGAGACCGGCAAAAGTAACATTTACGGAGTGAATACTGTACGCGTCAGATTACCACGCGTTGGATTACTACGCGATAAATTATTCCACATTGGATTACTATGCGTTAGAATGCCTCATGTGGGATTATTATGTGTTAGATTTCTACGCGATGAATTACTACGAGTTAGATTACTCCACGTTGGATTACTACTCGTTATATTACCACACGTTGGATTACTACGCGTTCAACTACAACACGTTGGATTACAACGCATTATTATTATCAGGAATGGTACTTGTCACGCGTTGTGTTCACCACACGTTGAATTCTCCATGTGTTGTCCACCACGCGTTGAATTCTTCGCGCGTTGAATTTACAGTGCGTGGAATTTTTAACACATTGAATTTTCTACGCGTCAAGTTTATCGCGCGTGGAATTTGCAGCGTATTGAATTTGCGCACGTTAAATTTGTTGTGCGTTGAATTTGCTACGTATTGAATTGTCTACACGTTGAGGTTTCTGCGCTTTAAATTTGCTTCGCGTTGAATTTGCTGTGCGTTGTGTTATCTACGTGTTGAGTTTTATACGCGTTCCATTTGCAGCGCGTTGAATTTGCTACGCGTTGGATATTACACGCGTCAAATTTGCTGCGCGCTAAATTTTCTACGCATTGTACTTGCAGTGCGTTAGAATTGCTATGCGTTGAGTTATCTACGTAGTTTGATTTCTACGCGTTGAATTTGCGGCACGTAAAATTTGCGGCGCGTTTAATTTTTTATGCGTTGCATTTGCTGCACATTGGAGTTGCTACGCTTTCAATTTTCCACGTGTTGAATTTTTCACGCATTAAATTTTGTGCACTTTGAATTTTCCACACGACAATTTAGCTGTGCGTTGGATTTGCTACGAACTAAATTTACCACCTATTTCTCAAAAAACAAAAAATCACATTATCCACAAAGACATTACCTGAGTATTCGAACATGTTGTTCCACGATTCTCGCAATCCTACCGTCCAGATTCTTGCTCATATCCGCCCGCCCGTTCACCAGGTAGCCCAACCAGTTCATCAAGATCTCCATCTGGCCACACGCATGCACCGCGAAGGTCGCCGCTAAGCTACAAGCCCCGGCCGTGATGACACGCAGCAAAATGCCTGCCAGACACTGAAGGAAGTAGAAGATTTCGTTGACGGGGCTTTGTCGGTAGTCGGTAATCCGCATCGGGGAAGGAAACGGCAATAAGATGAAGGTGAAGTTCCCGTCCTGCGCCGGGATCCTCCCCACGGTGATGGGCACAGCGATGTAGAAGAACATGTAAGAACTGCACATGAAGAACGTACAAACGATCACTATCCTACGCGCATAGTTCGCGTTCGCCACCATGATCCTCTTCTCCTCCAGGTGCTTCATGTTCCTCCAATCCCACTCGATCTGTTTCACGCACTTCAGGATGTCATTCTTGTGCAGCAATAGTAAGTAGTACTTCGAGTACGACATGAGGGGAGAGCTGAGGGGCCCGAACAACTTAATCCTGTTGTAGGTGCCGTTCACTTCGAGGATCAGGAAGATCAAGCAGGGGACGAACAGGAAACTCATCAGGAAATAACAGACGACGTGAACGAACCAACTGAGGTACTTCTTCATCGGCGAAACGGTGCTCGATTCCGGCCACGCGGCTATCGGTTTCAGAATCCAACGATTCAGCCGAACGCTTAGATCCACGTTTTTCAGGTAATCCTGCTCAGGTAATCCTGCTCTGCTTTTCGCTGGTGCTTTTTGCATCGTTGATTGCTCGATACTGAGCGAACGCGATTTGATTCTCTCTCGAAAAACATTATTGCGCTTGCGCTAATTTCCGATGAAGAATTTAAACCATCATTTTCTACTTTTTCGAAGGGTCGAACCCTTCTACTTTGCACGATGCATTATTAGTGCGGGGGTAGAATGATGACGGTGCATCGATAAATTGATTTTCAAACATCAGCGAGCGTCCACTCTTCAAGTTGTTACTTTCAAGCGATTATCTTACGTACTGTATGGTATTGCCCGGTTAATTTCTGTGTAATTATAATGTGTACATTTTGTTCGTCAGGAGTTTGTCGCCAGTCTCCTGCCTATGTTTTTATTACTTTCGATTACTTTCAATATAAAGTAATCATGGCAATGAATTGTTTACATTCTATATTTTTGAATTCGATAAATTTTGCATATAATTTACTAAGTAGTATAGTGTTTCAATTTCTGAAGAGTTAATGGTGTGAATTAATCACATGTCTACGTACGAGTGATGTCGCCAGAAAATGTGAACGTACCAGTGTACAATATTAACACTTTATTTCGTACTACAATCCACAGTGTACATTGATGAACTTACACGTGAATTCTATAATAAATTCTATACTTCTGCATATGAGATGAGCATCCGATTTGAAGAACAATTTTTATTATGTTTCTAGAAATTAACGATGCTAGCATGACCCGTTACTTCTACCAACATGTCCTCCAACTGCCATGACCCGTTACTTCTACCAACAAGTCCTCCAACTGCATATTGTTTCAAGTGACCGTTCGTAGTACATTCAGAAAGGCGAACGCACTTTTAACGACCTAAAATATATTAATTAATAATTAAATTCATGAAGATAATTGCGTTTGATACTTACATCGCCGAACTTGCTGTAAGATAATATCACGATGTTCCCTGCTGTCAGTTTAATTGTCGAATGAGACATTTGCATGATCAAAATTATGCTGAGTTTCCTCTTGCCCAGTAATCGATACCAGTCAATCATGTACGATATCTCAGCAATTTGTCTACACTGTTATAACAAATATTTTTAGTTCTTAAAATGAAAATATGTTTCTTCGTATACGATTATGACAGAAGTGCTTACATTTTATTCCAGGATATTTAAAATTATTTCAGATGTGCCTTAACGACAATATAAAAAAATTGTGCTAATTTTTATGTATAATAATTTAAGATTATTTATGTGGAGTACATTAACAAACAGACGATGTGAACAATACCCCCTCGGCAACAAGTTCTCCTATGTAACAATATATGAATATATTGAAGGTGAAAGACACAAAAAGAACGGCGTAAGTCGCAGAGCTTATCCTGTCGTTCGTGCTCCATTCCTAAAAATTTGTACAAAATCCCTTTTCACGTCTATTGAATATCGATTGAGTACCTCCTTTTTGCGTACCACGAGAACGTAATAACTAAGCAAACACAACACCGTTGTACACCCCAGAAACTCCACTAGAGCTATGTATCGAAGTGTTTTTTCTGTAAGATCTAAGAACCTGTAAAACATACGAACACGCTTTGATGTACATATAATTTGACGTACTTTATATGAAGTTTGTGTTGAATCAGTTGTGCGTTGAATTGACTTGCATTAAATTAGTGTGCACTATTATGCGTTACATTGCCACGGGTTGGATAACTGCGCGTTAAATTACTACACGTTGGATTACTACGCATCAGATTACCATACGTTGAATTACGGCGCGTTAGATTATTATATGCTATACGACGAAGCGTTAGATTATTACATGCTATACGACGGCGCGTTACATTATCTCAGGCTAGATTTCTACTCGTTAAATTACTAAAAATTTCATTATTATGCTTTAGATTACCACATGTTGAATTAGTTCGCGTTAGATTACTCCGCGTTGAGTTACTACGCGTTAGATTCCAACACGTTGGATAACAACGCATTATCATTACCAGGAATTGTACTTGTCGCGCGTTGTGTTCGCCATGCGTTAAATTCGCCATGTATTCTCCACCACGCGTTGCATTAGATACGCGTGGAATTTACAGTGCATGGAATTTGTAAGACATTAAATTTCCTACGCGTCAAGTTTGTCGCGCGTTGAATTTGCAACGCGTTGAATTTGCTGCGTATTGAATTTGCACGCGTTAAATTTGTTATGCATTGAATTTTCCACACGTTGAATTTGCTGCGCGTTGAATTTGCTATGCGTTGAATTTGCGGCGCGTTAAATTTGCTATGCGTTGTGTTATCTACGTGTTGAGTTTTCTACGCGTTGTATTTACAGCGCGTTGAATTTGCTACCCATTGGATATTCTACGCGTCAAATTTGCCCCGCGCTAAATTTTCAACGTATTGAATTTTCCACGCGTTAAATTTGCTATGCGTTGTGTTATCTACGCGTTGAATTTGCAGCGCGTTAAATCTGTTATGGGCTGAATTATCTACGCGTTTAGTTTCCTACGCGTTGAATTTGTGACGCGTTAACTTTTCACTCCTTGAGTTTTCTGCACATTGGATTTGCTACGCTTTAAATTTTCCACGTGTTGAATTTTTCACGCATTGAATTTTCTACGTATTGAATTTTGTACACTTTGAATTTTCCTCGCGTCAATTTTGCTGTGCGTTGGATTTGTTGCGAACAAAATTTACCACCCATTTCTCAAAAAACAAAGGAGCAAATTATCCACAAAGACATTACTTGAGTATTCGAACATGTTGTTCCACGATACTGGCAATCCTGCCGTCCAGACTCTTGCTCATATCCGCCCGTCCGTTCACGAGGTAGCCCAACCAGTTCATCAAGATCTGCATCTGTCCACACGCATGCACTGCGAATGTCGCCGCCAAGCTACAAGCTCCGACCGTGATGATATGCAGCACAACGCCTGCCAGACACTGAAGGAAGTAGAAGATTTCGTTGACGGGGCTCTGTCGGTAGTCGGTGATCCGCATCGAGGAAGGAAACGGCAAGAAGATGAAGGTGAAGTTCCCGTCCTGCGCCGGGATCCTCCCCACGGTGATTGGTACAGCGATGTAGAAGAAAATGTAAGAACTGTACATGAAGAACGCTGAGACGACTACTAATTTTCTTCCATAATTCGCGTTCATTCCCATGATATTTCTGTCGTTTAGGTGTCTGGCGTTCGCCCAGTCCCTCTGGACCTGCTGCACGCACTTCAGGATGTCGTTCTTGTGCAGCAGCATGAGATAGTACTTCAAGTACGACATGAGGAAAAAGCTGAGAGGGCCGATCAGCTTGATCCTGTTGTAGGTGTCGTTCACCTCGAGGATCAGGAAGGTCAAGCAGGGGACGAAGAGGAAACTGAGCAGGGAATAGCAGATGATGTGAACGAACCACCCAAGGTATTTCTTGATCGGCGAAACGGTGCTCGATTCTGGCCACGCGGCTATCGGTTTCAGTATCCAGCGATTCAGCCGAACGCTCAGGTCCACGTTCTTCAGGTATTCTTGCTCCGCTTTCGCTGTTGCTTTTTGCATCGTCGATTGCTCGATACTGAGCGAACGCGATTTGATCCTCTGTCCAGGAACATTATTGCGCTTGCGCTAATTTCCGATGAAGAATTTAAACCATCATTTTCTACTTTTTCGAAGGGTCGAACCCTTCTACTTTGCACGATGCATTATTAGTGCGGGGGTAGAATGATGACGGTGCATCGATAAATTGATTTTCAAACATCACTGAACGTCCGCTCGTCAAGTTGCTACTTTCAAGCGATTATCTTACGTACTGTGTGGTATTGCTCGGTTAATTTCTGTGTAATTATTATGTGTACATTTTGCTTGTCAGGAGAGTCTCCCGCCAGTCTTCTGCCTGTGTTTTTATTACTTTTGATTTAAAGTAATCATGACAATGAATTGTTTAAATTCTATATTTTTGAATTTGATATATCTTGCATAGAATTTTCTAAGTACTATAATGTTTCAATTTCTGAAGGGCTAATGATGTAAGTTAATCAAATGTCAACGTTCGAGTCACGCCACCGGAATATTTAAACTTACCAGTGTACAATAACAACACTTTATTGCGTACTACAAACAACAGTGTACATTGATGAACTAATCGTTAATTCTTTAATACATTCTATACATCTGCATATGGGATGAGCAACCGATTTGAAGAACAATTTTTACTATCCTTCTCGAAGTTAACGATGCTAATATGTTGCAATTGTAGACCCGTTACTTCTACCAGCAAGTTTTCCAACTGCATATTGTTTCAAGTGACCGTTCGTAGTACATTCAGAAAGGCGAACGCACTTTTAACGACCTAAAATATATTAATTATTAATTAAATTAATGAGGAAAATTGCGTTTGATACATACATCACTGAACTTGGTGTAAGATAATATCACGATGTTCCCTGCTGTCAGTTTATTTGTCGAATGAGACATTTGCATGATCAGAATCATGCTGAGTTTCTTCTTGCCCATTAATCGATACCAATCAATCATGTACGATGTCTCAGCAATTTGTCTACACTGTTATAACAAATATTTTTAATCCTTAAAATGAAAATATGTTTCTTCATATACGATTATGACAGAAGTGCTTATATTTTACTCCAGAATGTTTAAAATTATTTCATATGTGCTTTTAACCGCAATATAAAAAAAATGTGCTAATTTTTATGTATAATTATTTAAGATCATTTATGTGGAATACATTAACAAACAGATGATGTGAACAATACCCCGTCGGCAACAAGTTCTCCTATGTAACAATATATGAATATATTGAAGGTGAAAGGCACACAAAGAACGGCGTAAGTCGCACAGCTTATGCTCTCGTTTCTACTCCATTCCTAAAAATTTTTACAAAATCCTTTTTTACATATATTGAATATTGGGTACCTCATTTGTGCGTACCACGATAGCGTGATAACTACACAAGCACAACATCAGTGTACACCCCAGGAACTCCACCAGGGATACGTATCGAAGTGTTTTCTCTATAAGTTCTAAGAACCTGTAAAACATACAAACACACTTTGATGTACATATAATTCGACGTATTTTGCATGAAGTTTGTGTTGAATCAGTGTGCGTTGAATTATCATGCATTAGATTAGTGTTGACTAACTAATAAGTGCGCGTTAGATTACTACACGTTGGATTACTACGCGTTAGGTTACCACACGTGGGATTACTGCGGGTAAACTACAACACGTTAGATAGCGACGCATTATAATAACCAGGAATTGTACTTGTCACGCTTTTTGTTCACCACGCGTTAGATTCTCCATATGTTGTTTACCACGCGTTGAATTCTCCACGCGTTGAGTTAGATACGCGTTGAATTTACGGTGCGTGGAATTTGCAACACACTGAATTTTCCTGGCGTCAAATTTGTCACGCGTTGAATTTGCGCGCATTAAATTTGCTATGTGTTGAATTTTCTACGCGTTGAATTTCCTACGTATTGAATTTTCTACGCATTGAATTTTCTGCGCTTTAAATTCGCTGCGCATTGAATTTGCAGCGCGTTTAATTTACTATGCGATTTGTTACCTACGTGTTGAGTTTTCTATGCGTTGAATTTGCTGCGCGTTGAATTTGTTACGCTTTCACTTTTCTACATATTGAATTTTTCACTCATTGAATTCTCTACGTATTGAATTTTGTACACTTTGAATTTGCCACGCATCAATTTTGTTGTGCGTTGGATTTGCTATGAACAAAAAATCAAATTATGCACAAAGACATTACTTGAGTATTCGAACATGTTGTTCCACGATGCTCGTAATCCTGGCGTCCAGACTCTTGCTCATATCCGCCCGCTCGTTCACCAGGTAGCCCAACCAGTTCATCAAGATCTCCATCTGTCCACACGCATGCACCGCGAAGGTCGCCGCCAAGCTACAAGCTCCGACCGTGATGACACGCAGCAAAATGCCTGCCACACATTGAACGAAGTAGAAGATTTCGTTGACGGGGCTCTTTCGGTAGTCGGCGATCCGCATCGAGGTAGGAAACGGCAGTGACATGTAGGTGTAGTTCCCGTCCGGCGCCTCAATCCTCCCGCGCGCGACTGGCACAGCGATGTAGAAGAAAATGAAAGAACTGTACATGAAGAACGTACAAACGATCACGAACTTTCGGGCATAGTTCGCATTCATCACCATGATCCTCTTCTCCTCCAGGTGCTTCATGTTCTTCCAGTCCCACTCGATCTGTTTCACGCACCTCAGGACGTCATTCTTGTGCAGTAGTAGTAAAGTGTACTTCGAGTACGACATGATGAAAAAGCTGAGAGGCGCGACCAACTTGATCCTGTTGTAGGTGTCACTCACTTCGAGGATCAGGTACATGAAGCAAGGGACGAAGAGGAAATTAAGCAGGGAATAGCAGATGATGTGTACGAACCAGCCGAGGTATTTCTTGACCGGCGAAACGATGCTCGATTCCGGCCACGCGGCTATTGGTTTCAGTATCCAACGATTCAGCTGAACACTGAGTTCCACATTCTTCAGGTAATCTTGCTCCGTTTTCGCTGTTGTTTTTTGCATCGTCGACTGCTCGATACTGAACGAACGCGATTTGATCCTCACTCGAAAAACATTATTGCGCTTGCGCTAATTTCCGATGAACAATTTCAGCCATCATTTTTTGCTTTTTCGAAGGGTCGAACCCTTCTACTTTGCCCGATGCATTATTAGTGCGGGGGTAGAATGATGACGGTGCATCGATAAATTGATTTTCAAACATCACTGAACGTCCGCTCGTCAAGTTGCTACTTTCAAGCGATTATCTTACGTACTGTGTGGTATTGCTCGGTTAATTTCTGTCTAATTATTATGTGTACATTTTGTTCTTCTGGAGAGTCTCCCTTCGAATACTCGAGGTTTAAAAATTAATCGTTTTATTTTGTTATATACAAATTTGGGTAATTAAAGAAGAGGAAGTATTTTGGTAAACATTTCATTAAATTTCGAGTACATAATACTAGTGTTCAATTATACTTGGTCCTGTACGAGGAACGTTTAGGTTAACGCTCGCAACATGTTCAAGAAGGCCACCGCTGTTTTAACAATCTACACACAACCCATTATTTTTATTTCTCGAGATAAGTAAAATAGTTAATACTCACGTCACTGAAGGTGCTGATGGACAATTCGACCATGTTTCCAGCCGTGAGTTTGATCGACGAGTTAGACATCGCGATTATCAAAATGCAACAGAGCTTCTTCTTCCCTGACAATCGATGCCATTCGATCATGTACGACACTTCGCCTACTTTTTTACACTGTCATGTAACACTTTTATGTTCATTTTAAAGTGATAAGGTGCAAGTTTGAAACAACCTTAATAGTAAGTTTGAAATTGTACCTGTTCAGCCACGAGTTCTCCTATGTAACAGAAGATGAAAATATTGAAGCCGAAGTACGAGATTAATAAGATGTATGTTAGAGAGAAGGTTAGTTCTTTTGGATTCCATTCCTGAGGGATGAAATATGTGAGAAAGTTGTAATGAGGGGGGCTGTTGAACTGAAATGATCATTGTACCATGATGCAGTAATATCCGAGGAGACATAGGTTCATCATGCATCCCAAACATTCGACGCAAGATATTTGCTGAAGTAGTTTTTCCATAAGTTCTAGAAATCTGGAAATAATACAGTTTTTGATGGTCTCAGTTTTCTGGAGTTTGTAGAGTTTTCAATTTGCAAATTTGTAATTTTTTGAATTTTGTAGGTTTTTAATTTGTCACGTTCAGGAATTCTTTCTACAAGTTGAGAAGTTCGCAAATTCGTAAGTTTCCACGTTCCCAAGTTCCCAAGGTTCCAAGGTTCCCAAATTATCAAATTCTCAAATCCCCAATTTTCCAAATTCCCAAGTTTTCAAATTCCTAAATTCTCAAATCTCCAATTTCTCAAATAACAAGTTGTCAAATCCCCAAGTTCTTAAATTCCCAAATTCTCAAATCTACGCGTGAGATTACCACGCATGGAATTACTACGCGTGAGATTTTTTAATAAGATGTATGTTAGAGAGAAGGTTAGTTCTTTTGGATTCCATTCCTGAGGGATGAAATATGTGAGAAAGTTGTAATGAGGGGGGCTGTTGAACTGAAATGATCATTGTACCATGATGCAGTAATATCCGAGGAGACATAGGTTCATCATGCATCCCAAACATTCGACGCAAGATATTTGCTGAAGTAGTTTTTCCATAAGTTCTAGAAATCTGGAAATAATACAGTTTTTGATGGTCTCAGTTTTCTGGAGTTTGTAGAGTTTTCAATTTGCAAATTTGTAATTTTTTGAATTTTGTAGGTTTTTAATTTGTCACGTTCAGGAATTCTTTCTACAAGTTGAGAAGTTCGCAAATTCGTAAGTTTCCACGTTCCCAAGTTCCCAAGGTTCCAAGGTTCCCAAATTATCAAATTCTCAAATCCCCAATTTTCCAAATTCCCAAGTTTTCAAATTCCTAAATTCTCAAATCTCCAATTTCTCAAATAACAAGTTGTCAAATCCCCAAGTTCTTAAATTCCCAAATTCTCAAATCTACGCGTGAGATTACCACGCATGGAATTACAGCGCGTGAGATTCTTACGCATGGAGTTACTATGCATGGAGTTACTACGCGTGAGATTACCACGCATGGAATCGTTCCCAAGGTTCCAAGGTTCCCAAATTATCAAATTCTCAAATCCCCAATTTTCCAAATTCCCAAGTTTTCAAATTCCTAAATTCTCAAATCTCCAATTTCTCAAATAACAAGTTGTCAAATCCCCAAGTTCTTAAATTCCCAAATTCTCAATACTACGCGTGAGATTACCACGCATGGAATTACAGCGCGTGAGATTATCACGCATGGAGTTACTACGCGTGGAATCCCCAAATTCTCAAATTCTCAAGTTCCCAAATTCTCACATATCTAAAATTCTCAAATCTCCAAATTCTCAGATCCCAAAATTCTCAAATCCCTAAACTTTCAAATTTAAAATTATCAAATCTCTCAATTCTCAAGTCCCCAAATTCTCAAGTTCCCAAATTCTCAAATCCCCAAATTCTCACATATCCAAAATCCTCAAATCCTAAAATCCTTAAATGTCAAAGTATCCGTACAAGCTACTTATCACTCAAGGTAGTCAATCGCTACAACACTAAAACATACTTTCCTCGAAACAACATACCTCAGTATCCGAACATGTTGCTCCACAATACTAGCAATCCTCCCATCCACAGTGTCCTTCATATCCACCCGTCCACTAATCAAATGCTCCAACCAGTTCATCAAGATCTCCATCTGTCCACACGCGTGCACCGCGAACGTCGCCGCCAAACTACACGCCCCGACCGTGATCATATGCAATATAGTACCCGCTAAACATTGCACAACAAAGAAGATCTCATTGAAAGGACTGTGACGATAATCAAAAATCCTCGTCGACGAAGGGAACGGCAGAACAATAAACGTGAAGTTTCCATCAACTGCTGGGATCCTCCCCACACTAATCGGCATGGCGATGTAAAAGAAGATGTAAGAGCTAGACATGAAGAACGCGGAGACGACTACTAATTTTCGTCCATAATTCGCGTTTATTCCCATGATGTTTCTGTCGTTCAGGTGTCTGGCGTTGGCCCAGTCCCTCTGGACCTGCTGCACGCACTTCAGGATGTCGTTCTTGTGGAGCAGCATGAGATAGTACTTCATGTAGGACATCAGGAAGAAGCTAAGGGGACCGATGAGTTTGATCCTGTTGTAGCTGTCGCTCACGTCGAGGATCAGAAACACCAAACAAGGCACGAAGAGGAAACTTAATAAAGTACTGCAGAGGCTGTTCACCAGCCAGGTAAAATATTTGTCGATTCGTGTGACTTCCGATTTCGGCCAAACGCCTACGGGTCGCAGCAGCCAGCGGCTGAATTGAATACTCAGGTTCACGTTTTTTGTGTAATCTTGTGTGTCGAGTGCAGTCGTTTGCGTGACGGTCTTCTTCATGGTCAGGTGGATACTGAACGAACGATTTGGTTTTCGCGGAGGAATATTGCGCTTGCGTTGATTTTGTTTCTCTTGAGGATGAATTTAAATGCTTTTTTCAAAGGGTCGAACCCTTCTGCGGTTTTTGCTTTATGCATTATTAGTGGCGAGGGTAGAATGATGATTGCGGGAAGTTGGGAAATTGATTTTTTAAACGCAGTAGAACGTGAGCGGTCACCCTGATCGACGGTAGATTAATCATTTTTGTACCCACGCGATTATCTTACGTCCAGGGAATTCCGTTTGGAACGGAGGTTATTTATTTAGGGTTTTAATATAGGGAGTATTTACTCTTTTTTAATAGTTGTAATACAATTATCACTGCTACCAATAATCAACGTGAAATTATTACTGCTGTTTGTAAGTCAATTTTAAATGTGTACTGTCGCCACAGGTGGCGGCCATATTGGAGTTCTTAAAAGTTTCATTAAATTTTATCCTTCTTAACAAACTGTCTGTTATTTTCACAATAATTACTGAATGAGTGTTCCCAAATAAATAAGTGAAATTCCTAATAATAATGTGCATGTTTTTCGTGAGAATTAATCAGTGATTAGTGAGAGAATGTGGTGAAAACATAACCTAAATTTTCATCGAGTCATGCATCTATACTACCATTTAATTTGTGAGCTTGTAATAATTATTCTGCTACATTCTGATTGATGACACTAATTATTTGTGCAGTAGAACAAATTGGTATTTACTAAACTACAACAAATTCATCTATAATAAATTACTTCAGTGTTTAAAATGGGTATTATTTCTAATTTGAAAAACTATTTTTATTACGTTTTAGAAGTTCAAATAAACAATACAAGCAATAAAATATGGACACTCTTACCAACAAATCTTCATATCGTTATTTTAAAGAATGTTCAAGTTACCGTCCGTAACACGTTCAGAAAGGCGACCGCAGTTTTAACAACCTAAGAATATATTAATTAATGATTAAACTTATGAGGATTTGCGTTTGATACTCACATCACCGAACTTGCTGTAAGATAATATAACGATGTTTCCTGCTGTTAATTTAATCGACGAATTTGACATTTCAATCATCAGAATGACGCTGAGTTTCCTCTTCCCTGGTAATCGATACCAGTCGATCATGTACGACATCTCACCAATTTTTCTACACTGTTATAATACATTTTCAATTCTCAACATGCAAATGTGTTTTGTCAAGTATGAATTGGTTATCGCAAAAATGCTAATTTGCTACAGAAAATTTATAAATACTCGCGCAGATGTGTCTTTAATAATAATACAAAGAAAGTGACAGTGCTAATTTTAATTTACAAATATTCAAGATTATTCGAGTAAAAGTGCATTTAAAAAAAAGATGAGAACAATACCTCCTCAGCAACAAGCTCTCCTATGTAACAAAATATGAATATATTGAAGGTAAGAGACATAAGAAGAACAGCGTACGTCGCAGAGCTCATGATATCGTTCGTACCCCATTCCTAAAAATTTGTACAAAACCCCTTTCAGATCTATGATTCAGAAATATTGAATTCCTGTTTTATGTGCCACTTGCGTACCATAAGAACGTAATAACTAAGCAGACATAAATTTAATGTACAACCCAGGAACTCCACCAGGGATATGTGCCGAAGTATTTTCTCTGTCAGCTCTAGGAATCTGTAAAACATACGTGTATTTATTTATAGTAGGGTGTACTTCACTTTAGTTTGCGTTGAATTAGTGTGCGTTAAATTACTACATGTTGGATTGCTGCGCGTTAGATTACCACCCGTCGGACTACTACGCGTTACTCTACCACCCGTCGGATTACTACGCGTTCACTTACCAACCGTCGGATTACTACGCGTTAGACTACCTCACGTGGGATTACTAAGCGTTGATTACCACACGTCAAACTACTACGCGTTGAATTTTATAAGCACTAAACTTGATACGCGTTGAATTTACTACACGTCGAGTATGCAATACGTTAAATTTTTCTCGTGTCGAATTCTGTACGTGTAGAATTTTTCATGCGTCGAATTTGCTGTGCATCGAATTTTCCAAACATCGAGTTGTCATCAAGTTTTCACACGTTTGTTTTCTTACGTGATATATTTGTCACGCATTGAATGCTTCACATGTGGAATTCGTCCTACTCCATCCACGGCAATATAACAAGAGTTTATTTCACCTACAAATATCTCATTGCACATTCAAAATGACTAATATGCTAAGTATCTTCCAAGCCATGAAATTCAGAAAAACGACATTAAACAAAACTCATACACTACATACAGTAAGCAATTAATAAATTGCCCAAGTGCAGTCCCCAGAATATACCTCATTCCAGAATTTACGAAGTGGCGGAAGACACTTGCCTGTACCTACATTTTTCGAAATCAAACTAAAAAGTCAAATTACAATGAAGAAATATATGTACACACTTCAGAATTCGAACATGTTGACTCACGACGCTGGCAATCCTGGCGTCCACAGTGTCACCCATATCTGATCTACCGTCGACCAAATGTTTCAGCCAGTTCATCAAAACCTCCATCTGTCCGCAAGCGTGAACAGCAAGCATGGCAGCTAACCCGCAAGCGGCTGACGTGACGCCGTGCATCACAGCACCGCCTATCAACTGAAGAAAGAAGACGATCTCGTTCGTCGGACTGTATCTCGTATCTATTATCAGCTTCGAAAATGGAAATACCAGAGGCATGAAGGTCAGATTTGCATCCGCAGCTTGTATTTTACCAACACTGATCGGTAAGACGATATAATAGAACGCGAAACCGCTGTACATAAAGAAGGTGCAAAGAGCTATAAGTTGTCTTCCAAATTTCGCCTTCTCTACCATGATTTTCTTATCATCATCGTGACTGATGTTCTTCCAGTCCAATTCGATGCGTTGGATACAATCGCGTATGTCGTTCTCGTTAAGAAGCATTAAATAATACTTCATGGTTCTCGTGAAGAATCATTAAATAATACTTCATGATCGCCATCATGCAGAAACTCGATGGCCCGAAAAATTTGATCTGGTTGTAAACGTCCTCAACTTCCAGGATCACGTACAAACTGCACGGTACTAACAAAAAACTGATGAATGCATAGCACAATACGTTTATCAACTGGTATAACCATATCTGTGCTACGGTTAGGTTGGTCGATCTTGGCCAGACCCCCAACGGTTTTAAAATCCAGTGGCACAATTGAATACTGAGCTTTACATTTCTCTCGTAGCCATCGATCACGGACGGCTTCCTGTATGCCTCTGGCCTTTTCATGTTAAATGCTCGGTTGATACTGAGGGATCGTGTTTGATCACGGTTGCAAGCAAAATGTAGCAGCGCTTGCGCTTGTTTCGAACTTCGCAAAAAGCGTATGGAATAAAAATTACTTCTTTCGTAATCGCGGGCGACCCTTCTGCATTTTTACGTTACTTCCTTATGCATTATGAGCGAGCTGCGACGACAAGATAATGTTGGAAGGGTAGATGCATTGATTTTTTTTGCGCGACCGCAAGGGTACAATTTGTGTAAATGCTGGTTCAACAGGTTTTTCTAAACAATTTGTGGTTCGTGAATCTTAGGGGAGATTGCCAGTGTTTTTATTACTTTTGATATAAAGCAATCATGACACTGGATTATTTAAGTTTTATATATTTTTGAATTTGATAAATTACAATGAATTTTTTAAGTACTAGTGCTTCAATTTCTAAAGAACTAATGATGTGAACTAATCACATGTCTACGAGTGACGTCATTAGAAGATTCGAACTTACCAGTGTACAATAATAACACTTTATTTCGTACTACAAGCAACAGTGTGCCTTGATGAACTTACACGTGAATTCTATAATCAATACTATACTTCTGCATATGAGATGAGCAACCGATTTGAAGAACAATTTTTATTATGTTTCTAGAAGTTAACGATGCTACCATGTTGCAATTATAGACCCGATACTTCTACCAACGAGTCTTCCAACTACATATTGTTTCAAGTGACCGTTCGTAATACATTCAGAAAGGCGAACGCACTTTTAACGACCTAAAATATATTAATTAATAATTAAATTGATGAGGATAATTCCGTTTTATACTTACATCACCGAACTTGCTGTAAGACAATATCACGATGTTCCCTGCTGTCAGTTTAATCGTCGAATTGGACATTTGCATGATGAAAATCATGCTGAGTTTCCTCTTGCCTAGTAATCGATACCACTCGATCATGTACGATATCTCAGCAATTTGTCTACACTGTTATAACAAATATTTTTAAAACGAAAATTACTTAAAATGAAAATATATTTCTTCATATACGATTATGTTAAAAGTGCTAATATTTTACTCCAGAATGTTTAAAATGTGTTTTCAATGATAATATAAAGAAAAAAGTGCTAATTTTTATGTATAACTATTCAAGATCATTTATGTGGAGTACATTTAACAAACAGACGATGTGAACAATACCCCCTCGGCAACAACTTCTCCTATGTAACAATATATGAATATATTGAAGGCAAGAGACACAAGAAGAACGGCGTAGGTCGCAGAGCTTATCCTATCGTTCGTACTCCATTCCTAAAAATTTGTACAAAATCCATTTTCAGATCTATTGAAAACCGATTGAGTGCCTCTTTTGTGCGTACCATGAGAACGTAATAACTAAGCAAACACAACTCCATTGTACACCCCAGGAACTCCACCAGGGATATGTATCGAAGTGTTTTCTCTGTAAGCTCTAAGAACCTACAAAACATACAAACACGCTTTGATGTACATATAATTGGACGTACTTTATATGAAGTTTGTGTTGAATCAGTGTACGGTTAATTATCGTGCATTAAATTAGTGTGCATTATTATGCGTTATATTGCCACGCGTTAGATTACTGCCCGTTCAACTACAACACGTTTAGTTACTACGCGTTAGATTACCACACGTCGGATTGCTGCGCGTTCAATTACAACACGTTGGATTACAACGCGTTAGCATTACCAGGGTTTGTACTTGCCACGCGTTGTGTTCACCGCGCGTTGAATTCTCCATGTGTTGTCCACCACGCGTTGAATTCTCCACGCGTTGAGTTACATACGCGCTGAATTTGCAACACATTGAATTTTCTACGCGTCAAATTTGTCACCTCTTGAGTTTTCTACGCGTTGAATTTGCTACGCGTTGAGGTTTCTATGCGTTGAATTTGCTACGCTTTGTCGTTTCTATGCGTTGAATTTGCTATGCGTAGAATTCTCCACGCGTTGAGTTATTTACGTCTCGAGTTTTCTACGCGTTGAATTTGCTGAGCGTTGAATATTCTACGCGTCCAATTTGCTCCCCGTTGGATCTTTCACCGGTCAAATTTGCTGCGCGTTTGTTTTGCTGTGTATTTAATTTTCTACGCGTTGAATTTGCGATGCGTTAAATTTGCTATGCGTTGAGTTTTCTACGCGTCGAATTTTCCACGCTTTGAATTTTCCATGCGTCCATTTTGCTGCGCGTTGGATTTGCTACGAACTAAATTTACCACCCATCGAATTTTCAATGTGGGGAATTCATAACACATTACATAACCACGCATACAATCTTCCTATATCAATAGCTAGAAGTGCGTTTCCCTCCTACAGTCCATGGCAATATAACGAAAGATTTCCAATATGAAACAACATAGAACGCGATCATATATCTCATAACGCATCCACAAAGCAACTGTAAGCAATCTCTCTAAGCTTATTCCAAATGTTAACCAGAATAGCAACTATTAACTAAAACTAGCACACTGTACAATAAAAAAAATGAAAATTCAAATTACAACAACTAAGTATAGGTACACACTCCAATATTCGAATATGGTGCTCCACAATGCATCCGATCCTCCCATCTACCGATTTCGGCAAGTCCGACCTCCCATCGACCAAATGTTTCATCCAGTTAACCATAATCTCCATTTGCCCGCAAATATGAGCCGCCAACATGGAGGCCAAACTGCAAGAAGCCGATGAAACGCCATGTAACGTCGCATCGCTCATCATCTGAAAGGAGAAGATGATCTCGTTCGTTGGACTGAATCTCGTATCGACTATCACTTTCGGAAATGGAAACATCAGCGGTATGTATGTCACGTTTTCCTCCGGGTCTTCTATTCTTCCAGACCCGATCGGTATGGAGACGTAATAGAACGTCAAGCCGCTGTACATGATGAACGTGCAAAGAGCTATTAATTGACTCCCATATCTCGCGTTCTTGATCATAATTTCCCTGTCCTCCGGGTGAGTTATGTCCTTCCAGCTTAATTCGATGAGTGTGATACATCTGCGTATGTCGCTTTCGTGGACGATCAGTACATAGTACTTTATGAGCGCCATCACACAGAAACTCGTCGGTCCGAACACTTTGATCTTGTTGTAAACGTCCTGGACTTCCACGATCATGTACACGATACACGGCACAGAGAGGTAACTGAGGAACGAAAAAATCATGACGTTTCTAAACCGATAGAAGCATTTCTGCGATAGGGTGAAGTCGGGGGGTTGCGGCCAGACGGCTATAATCGTTAAGATACGGCGGCACCATTTAATGCTCAGGTTCACGTTCCTCTCGTGCTCGTCGATTTCCTTCGACACTCGTGTTTTTTTCATGATGAAAGCTCTGTTGAAACTGAGGGTTGATAATGGTACCGAATCTGTGCACGACGGCACCATTTAATGCTCAGGTTCACGTTCCTCTCGTGCTCGTCGATTTCCTTCGACACTCGTGTTTTTTTCATGATGAAAGCTCTGTTGAAACTGAGGGTTGATAATGGTATCGAATCTGTGCTTCGGTTCTAATTTCAGTTGCAAAAGCACGGGGGAAAAAGAACTTTTTTAATAGAGTTCTACCCTTCTGCAATTTTAGTTTTATGTATTATAAATGAGGATCTGCTGGGTGCATTGATTTCTTTGCGCGGACGCAGGGCTGCAATTTACGGAATGGGGGTTGCAGCGATTTTGCGAAGCAATCTGTGTTCCGGGAATCATTACGGTGATTGTGCTTCTATTACCTGTGATGGAAAGTGACATTATGTGACTTCCAAATATTTGTTTCGAAGTGCGATAGTTTGGCGATTGCATACAATTTTCTACTTTTATGGTGTTTTATTATCATAAAATCTAAAGGAGAATAAATGAGGTATATTCTACATAGAAGTGATAGCACTACAATAATAAAACTTTTAAACATCAAACAACAATGTACATTCAATTGAAAAAATACTTGATCATACATATTTACCACTGGACGTTCACATGTTTATTTTGTCACATTCTTAGTTGTAGTTCGTGAACAAAAATAATATACGGAGTCATACATCAGTAGAAATCGTTCAAATATATTTTCGAATACTAACATTAATTTTTTAAACACTATAGCACTACGAGTATCACTTACGTCAATGTACGTAACACGTTCAAGAACGCAAACGCTGTTTTAACAACCTATGTGTACAAAGAACTTTTATTAATTTTGGTGGTGAATCAGTGTTAATAAAGTGGTACTTACGTTTGTGAATGTCTCAATAGACAATTCAACCATATTCCCGGCTGTCAATGTGATGGATGAATTAGACATCGCGATTATCAAGACGCAGCAGAGTTTTTTGTTTCCAGGCAATCGGTACCATTCAATCATATATGTCATTTCTCCAATTTTCCTGCACTATTATGAAACAAAATATTAATTAATAATTTAGGAGAAGTTTATTAAATATAACAAGGTTTGTATGTTCATTGTTTAAAGATTCAATTAAAAAGTTAATTAAATGAGAGATAAAATAAACAGAATTGTACCTGCTCAGCAACAAGTTCTCCTATGTAACAAAATATAAATATATTAAACGTAAGGGATATGAGTAAAATGATATAAGTTACTGTACTTGTTATATCGTTCGATTTCGACTCCTATAATGTCAAGATAGTACACAAATGTAGTAAATAGCGTTTACATAGCATCGTTTCATTATTTCATGTGATTTGCGTACCATTATAACGTAATATCCAAGAAGACATATGTCCAATGTACATCCCAAGAACTCGACAAATGATATTAGCTGAAGGGCGCCTTCAGTGCGAGTCAAATATCTAAAAGTAAAATTTCCTAATGTGAACCTCGTACAATAATATATGTATAGTCACTTAATTTGCTGGTATACGTGTATAATACAAATATCTCCTTGCACATTTCAAGTAATTAACATTCCCTCTAAGCATCTTCCAAGCCATAAAAGCTAGATTACTACACGTCAAATTACTACGCGTTAGATTACCACACGAAGGATTACTACGCGCTAGATTATCACACGTTGGATTATTACGCGTTAGATTACTACACGTCAGATTCCTACGCGTTGAATTTTATAAGCACTAAACTTAATACGTGTTAAATTTACTACACGCTGAGTATGCAATGCGTTAAATTGTTCACGTGTCGAATTCTACACGCGTAGAATTTTTCATGCGTCGAATTTGCTGTGCATCGAATTTTTCCACGCATCGAGTTATCAAATCGAATTTTTCTCACGTTAGGTTTATTACGTGATATATTTGTCACGCGTTGAATTTTCCACATGTTGAATTCGTCCTACTCCTATCCACGGCAATATAATAAGAGTTTATTTCACCCACAAATATCTCATTGCACATTTAAACTGACTAATATCCTAAGTATCTTCCAAGCCATGAAATCCAGAAAAACGACATTAAACAAAAGTTACACACTACATGCAATAAGCAATTAGTAAATTGCCCAAGTGCAGTCCCCAGAGAATTCCTAATTCCACAATTTACAAAGTGGCGGAAGACACTTACCTATACCTACATTTTTCGAAAACAAACTAAAAAGTCAAATTACAATGAAGAAATATATGTACACACTTCAGAATTCGAACATGTTGACTCACGACACTGGCAATCCTGGCGTCCACAGTGTCACCCATATCTGATCTACCGTCGACCAAATGTTTCAGCCAGTTCATCAAAACCTCCATCTGTCCGCAAGCGTGAACAGCAAGCATGGCGGCTAACCCGCAAGCGGCAGACGCGATGCTGTGTATCAAAGCACCAGCTACCACCTGAAGAAGGAAGACGATCTCGTTCGTCGGACTGTATCTCGTATCTATTATCAGGCTCGAGAATGGACACGCCAGAGGTATGAAGGTCAAATTTGCATCCGCAGCTTGTATTTTATCAGCACTGGTCGGTAAGACGACGTAATAGAACGCGAAACCAGAACGCGAAACCGCTGTACATAAAGAAGGTGCAAAGAGCTATAAGTTGTCTTCCAAATTTCGCCTTCTCTACCATGATTTTCTTATCATCATCGTGACTGATGTTCTTCCAGTCCAATTCGATGCGTTGGATACAATCGCGTATGTCGTTCTCGTGAAGAATCATTAAATAATACTTCATGATCGCCATCATGCAGAAACTCGATGGCCCGAAAAATTTGATCTGGTTGTAAACGTCCTCGACTTCTAGGATCACGTACAAAATGCCCGGTACACACAGAAAACTAAGAAAGCTGTAACACATAACATTTATCAATCGGTACATGCATTTCTGTGTTCCTGTAACGTCGGATGTTGGCCAGACTCCTATCGGTTTTAAAATCCAACGACACCATTGAGTACTCAGGTTCACATTTTTCTCGTAGTCATCGATTGTTTTCTTGTGCACGCTTGTTTTTTGCATGGTGAAAGCTCATGTGATACTGAAGGGTTGTTTGATAATGGTTCCAGAGAAAATGCATCAGCGCTTGCGCTTTGTTTCGATTTTTTGCAACAACGTGAGGAATATTACTTCTTTTTAATCGAGTTCTACCCTTCATATCTGCTTTTTTTGCTTTATGCATTATGAACGAGGAATGAGGATATTATGTTGCTTGTGTATCGATACATTTTTTTTTGCGCGCGGTCGCAGGGGTGCAATTTATGTGAATACTGGTTCAACTGATTGCACGAAACAATTTGTGAACTTGTGAAGGGTTTTTTTTTTTTGTTTTTTTTGAAGTTTGTGGGTAGAGAATTGTGAGACTCATTTTCATTTTTGAGTTCTGTGTATTTTTGTGTTCGATGTAAAACTGTAGTCTTGTATTATTTAGCAGTTACGTGTAATTTCTTTAGTATATTTGTGGTGTTTACGTTTTTATTAACGAAAGATTTAAAGACCCATAAGCGTGTTAACCCTGTGTACTTCTTTCGTACAAGTCATTAAGTAATTTTTCAAACAATTTAATATAAAATGGTGAATTATTGCCTCAGACGACAAGCAACATATTTAACTCTAGGTGTACAGACGTTTGATGGTCACATTTAAATTTGAACTAGAGTAGAAAAATAAATAAATTAGGGATGATATCTGAACTGTCTAAGACATTTTTTAGCTTGACGAAAGTTAACATTTTTACAAAAATTTCTTAATAAGTTTTGTCATAAAAAATATGAGATCTATGATTTTTCCGTAAATCTAGTGTTAACAAATAAATAATTGATTCATCAAAAGATCAATAACCAATAAAATATTCAGCACTAAACACGTCGTAATTTAAACGCATAGAATTATTAAGCAATAGATCTTTATCGAACTTATTGCCCAACCTTAGGCTGAATTTTGTAAACCATTTCCATGTTGTCGACTCACCTATGACACCTTCTCCGCATACATTGCAAATATCCCGGGCTGCTTCAGAAGCTTTTTGGCCGCGATGGTAAGCGAAGAAGTGCAGGTGTCGAAAGTGCTGCTTTTTACCTCTTGGATATTTCATTTCTGAGCCCCAATAGTAATAACCAATGAATCTACTGAAAAAAAACGATTAACACAGTTTTGTAGAGCAGAAAAAGCTCTATCGAAAGAATACTATAACCTCTTGCAAATTGCAAAATGTCGCTGTAAGAAAAAGAAAATGTCAAAACGCTATGAACTTATTCCCCAACCTAATATATCTCGATTAATAATTACATATTAAAGTAACGATGAAATAGTCACAAAGTAACAGATGTTATTACACAAGTTTAAGAAGAATTCATACAAATATTTCTAGATTAATAATTACTTATTAAAGTAAAGGTTAAATAGTCGCAGAGTAGTAGATGTTACACGACAAATTTAAGAAGAATTCATAGAAATATGTCGATGAAATAATCGCAGAGTAGTACCTACATGTTACAAAACAAGTTTAAAAATTCCCCAAAATACATATGTATACATACTTTTGTTGCGTTTACCGCCCCCGGTCTAGGGAATTTAGAACGTGGGTTAGTAAACTTGTGGAGCGCTGAGGCGCTCTGCTCCCGGTGTGTAGAAATAACTCTAACAGATTTAAAATGAAAAAGGACTAAGTCCAACTATTTATTCGGTAAGTGACAAAGTATTTTTTACAAGAGCGAACTGGAGGGTATGAAATACAAAATTCGTCTAATCGTTCTGCGCTTGGCGGAGGAGATCTTCGGGTGATGCGGATCGATGCCCCTTCCTTGTTGGATCCTGGATCCTCCCTCAGGATCATCCCTTGTCCAATGGTGGAGGAGTCCACCCTGTCCGATGTGGGCCCCTTCTCCCGGCTGTGGTCCACCCTCAGCCGCGTGATGGCGGAGGCACTCCGCCAAGACGCGGGAATGTACCAGCGCACATGTGCTCAGAGAAAGCATGGGACCCCGAGAATACGGAAAACAAGTACTTGTACTAGCGAAAATTTAACCCTCGAGAAAATTTAGGACCCTTTTAGAGTGCATGAAAAGACAGGATATTCGTAGAAGATTGAAGCTTTCAAGAACCGTACGTGACTTAGTCGAAAACAGCGAATTTGTTTTCCAACGACATCACCTGGTACAGCCATATCTGTACTACGGTAAGGTTGGTCGATCTTGGCCAGACCCCCAACGGTTTTAAAATCCAGTGGCACAATTGAATACTGAGCTTTACATTACTCTCGTAGTCATCGATCACGGAGGGTTTCCTGTATGTCACTGGCCTTTTCATGTTAAATGCTCGGTTGATACTGAGGGATCGTGTTTGATGACGGTTGCAAGGAAAATGTAGCAGCGCTTGCGCTTTGTTCTGAACTTCGCAAAAACATAAGGAATAAAAATTATTTCTTTTGTAATCGCGGTCGACCCTTCTGCAATTTTATATTATTTCCTTATGCATTATGAGCGAGCTGCGAGGACAAGATAATGTTGGAAGGGCAGTTACATTGATTTTTTTTGCAAGACCCCAAGGGTACGATTTGTGTAAATGCAGGTTTAACAGGTTTTTCTAAACAATTTGTGGTTCGTGAATCTCAGGGGAGATTGCCAGTGTTTTTATTACTTTTGATGTAAAGCAATCGTGACACTGGATTGTTTAAGTTTTATATATTTTTGAATTTGATAAATTACATAGAATTTTCTAAGTACTAGTGTTTCAATTTCTAAAGAAATGATGTGAACTAATCACATGTCTACGAGTGACGTCATCAGAAAATTTAAACTTACCAGTGTACAACAATAACACTTTATTTCGTAATACAAGCAACAGTGTACATTAATGAACTTACACGTGAATTCTATAATAAATTCTATACTTTAGCATATAGGATGAGCAATCAAGTTGAAGCACGATTTTTATTATGTTTTTAGAAGTTAACGATGCTAACATGTTGCAATTATAGACCCGTTACTTCTACCAACAAGTTTTCTAACTGCATATTATTTTAAGGAATGTTCAAGTGACCGTCCGTAGTACATTCAGAAAAGCGAACGCACTTTTAACGACCTAAAATATATTAATTAATAATTAAATTGATGAGGATAATTCCGTTTTATACTTACATCACCGAACTTGCTGTAAGACAATATCACGATGTTCCCTGCAGTCAGTTTAATCGTCGAATTAGACATTTGCGTGATCAAAATGATGTTGAGTTTCCTCTTCCCTAGTAACCGATACCAGTCGATCATGTACGATATCTCAGCAAGTTGTCTACACTGTTACAACAAATATTTTTAATTCATAAAATGAAAATATATTTCTTCGTATACTTTTATGACAAAAGTGCTAATATTTTACTCCAGAATGTTTGAAATTATTTCAGATGTGCTTTTAACAATATAAAAAACTATGGTAATTTTTATGTATAATTGTACAAGATCATTTAAGTGGAGTGCATTTAACAAACAGATGATGTGAACAATACCCCTTCGGCAACGAGTTCTCCTATGTAACAATATATGAATATATTGAAGGTAAGAGACATAAGAAGAACGGCGTAGGTCGCAGAGCTTATCCTATCGTTCGTACTCCATTCCTAAAAATTTGTACAAAATCCATTTTCAGATCTATTGAAAACCGATTGACTGCCTCGTTTGTGCGTACCATGAGAACGTAATAACTAAGCAAACACAAATTCAATGTACAACCCAGGAACTCCACCAGGGATATGTATCGAAGTGTTTTCTCTGTAAGCTCTAAGAACCTGTAAAACATACAAACACACTTTGACGTTCATATAATTTGACGTACTTTATATGAAATTTGTGCTGAATCAGTGCATGCATTATCATGCATTAAATTAGTGTGCACTATTATGCGTTATATTGCCACGCGTTGGACAACTGCGCATTAGATTACTACACGTTGGATTACTACGAATCAGATTACTACACGTTAAATAACGGCACGTTAGATTATTACATGCTATACGACGGCGCGTCAGATTACCACACGTTAGATTACTACTCGTTAAATTACTACAAGTTAGATTATTATACTTTAGATTACCTCATGTTGAATAACTGTGCGTTAGATTACTGCAAGTTGGATTACTACGCATTAGATTACCACGCGTTGGATTACTACGCGATAAATTACTCCACGTTGGATTACTATGCGTTACATTACCTCATGTTGGATAATTACGTGTTAGAATTCCACGCGTTAGATTACTCCATATTGGATTGCTACGCGTTAGATTACCACACGTTGGATTACTACGTGTTCAACTATAATACGATGAATTACGACGTGTTTTCATTACCGGGAATTGTACTTGTCGCGCGTTGTGTTCACCACACTTTGAATTCTCCATGTGTTGTTCACCACGCGTTCAGTTCTCCACGCGATGAATTTACAGTGCGTAGAATTTCCGACACACTGAATTTTCTACGCGTGGAATTAAGTACACATTGAATTTTCAAAGCGTCAGATTTGCAACGCGTTGAATTTGCTACGTATTGAGTTTTTTACGTGTTGAATTTGCGGTGCGTTAAATTTGCTATGCGTTGGGTTTTCTACGCGTTGAATTTGCTGTGCTTTATATTTGCTATGCGTTGAATTTGCTGTGCGTTGAGTTTCCTACGCATTGAATTAACTACACATTGAATTTTCAAAGCGTCAGATTTGCAGCGCGTTGAATTTGCTACGTATTGAGTTTTCTACGTGTTGAATTTGCGGCGCGTTAAATTTGCTATGCGTTGGGTTCTCTACGCGTTGAATTTGCGGTGCTTTATATTTGCTATGCGTTGAATTTGCGGTGCGATAAATTTGCTGTGTGTTGAGTTTTCTACGCATTGAATTAACTACACATTGAATTTTCAAAGCGTCAGATTTGCAGCGCGTTGAATTTGTTACGTATTGACTTTTCTACGCGTTGAATTTGCGGCGCGTTAAATTTGCTATGCGTTGAGTTTTCTACGCTTTGAATTCGCGGTGTGTTAAATTTACTGTTTGTTAAGTTTTCTACGCGTTGAATTTGCTGCGCGTTAAAAATGCTATATATTGAATTTTTTACGCGTTGAATTTGGGGCGCGTTAAATTTGGTGTGCGTTGAGTTTTCTACGCGTTAAATTTGCTACACATTGGATTCGCTACGAACCAAATTTACCACCCATCAAATTTGCAATGTGATGAATTCATAATACGTTACATAACCCCACATACAATCTTCCTATATCAATAGCTGCAAGTGTGTATCCCTCTTACAGTCCATGGCAGTATAACGAATGATCTCAAATATGAGACAACATAGAACTCTCGTAGCGCATTCACAGCAACTATAAGCAATCGCCCAAAGTACACTCCAAATCTTAACCACAACAAAAACTATTAATTAAAACTAGCACAGTATAGAGAGATAAAATAAGAAATTCAAATTACAACACCGAAGTATATGTACACACTCCAATATTCGTATATGGTGGTCCACAATGCATGCAATCCTCTTGTCTACCGATTTAGGCAGGTCTGACCTCCCATCGACCAAATGTTTCAGCCAGTTAACCATAACCTCCATTTGTCCACAAATATGAACGGCCAGCATGGCGGCCAAACTGCAAGAAGCCGACGAAACACCGTGTAACGTTGCATCGGACATCATCTGAAAGGAGAAGATGATCTCGTTCGTTGGGCTGAATCTCGTATCGACTATCAGTTTCGGAAATGGGAACATCAGCGGTATGAATGTCACGTTTTCCTCCGGGTCTTCTATTCTTCCAGACCCGATCGGTATGGAGACGTAATAGAACGTCAGGCCGCTGTACATGATCAACGTGCAAAGAGCTATCAGTTGCCTCCCATATCTCGCGTTCTTGATCATAATTTCCCTGTCATCCGGGTGAGTTATCTCCTTCCAGCTTAATTCGATGAGTCTGATACATCTGCGTATGTCGCTTTCGTGGAGGATCAGCAAATAGTACTTTATGACCGCCATCACGCAGAAACTCGTCGGTCCGAACACTTTGATCTTGTTGTAAACGTCCTCGACTTCCACGATCATGTATATGGTGCACGGTACACAGAGGAAACTGAGGAACGAAAAAATCATGACGTTTCTAAACCGGTAAAAGCATTTCTGCAATAGGGTGAAGTCGGGGGATTGCGGCCAGACGGCTATGATCGTTAAGATACGACGGCACCATTTAATGCTCAGGTTCACGTTCCTCTCGTGCTCGTCGATTTTCTTCGACACTCGTGTTTTTTTCATGATGAAAGCTCTGTTAAAACTGAGGGTTGATAATGGTATCGAATCTGTGTTTCGGTTCTAATTTCAGTTGCAAAAGCACGGGGGAAAAAGAACTTTTTTAATAGAGTTCTACCCTTCTGCAATTTTAGTTTTATGTATTATAAATGAGGATCTGCGGGGTGCATTGATTTCTTTGCGCGGACGCAGGGCTGCAATTTACGGAATGGGGGTTGCAGCGATTTTGCGAAGCAATCTGTGTTCCGAGAATCATTACGGTGATTGTGCTTCTATTACCTGTGATGGAAAGTGACATTATGTGACTTCCAAATATCTGTTTTGAAGTGCGATAGTTTGGCGATTGCATACAATTTTCTACTTTTATAGTGTTTTATTATCATAAAATCTAAAGCAGCATAAATCAGTTAGTCACGTTTATCTCCAACGTAGAAGTGATATGACTAAATAATTTAACACTAAACCTACCGCCATATGTGTACTTAATTTGAAATTAAAAATGAAGTTAAAAAGTAAATAAATGAATGACAAAACATAAATTAGTATATATATTTAGTCTTTGTCTTATTGAAAATCAATGCTGAATTCAAGAAATTTACTTTAACTAAATGTGTACCTTATAATGAGGCATTTGTAGAGCGGTTATTCAACCGGTTTGGTAGTTTCAGTGTTAAATCTATCTGCAAAGCAGTATACAATAATGAATTTGTTTTAAACGTCGAATAACAATGTACATTCAATTGAAAAAATACTTGATCATACATATTTACCACGTCGATATGTTTATTTTGTCACACTCTTAATGGTAGTTCGTGAACAAAAATAATATACGGAGTCATACATCAGCACAAATCGTTCAAATATATTTACGAATACTAACATTAATTTTTTAAACACTATTGCACTACGAGTATCACTTATGTCATTGTACGTAACACGTTCAAGAACGCAAACGCTGTTTTAACAACCTATGTGTACAAAGAACTTTTATTAATTTTGGTGGTGAATCAGTGTTAATAAAGTGGTACTTACGTTTGTGAATGTCTCAATAGACAATTCAACCATATTCCCGGCTGTCAATTTGATGGATGAATTAGACATCGCGATTATCATGACGCAGCAGAGTTTTTTGTTTCCAGGCAATCGGTACCATTCAATCATATATGTCATTTCTCCAATTTTCCTGCACTATTATGAAACAAAATATTAATTAATAATTTAGAAGAAGTTTATTAAATATAACAAGGTTTGTATGTTCATTGTTTAAAGATTCAATTAAAAAGTTAATTAAATGAGAGATGAAATAAACAGAATTGTACCTGCTCAGCAACAAGTTCTCCTATGTAACAAAATATAAATATATTAAACGTAAGGGATGTAAGCAAAATGATATAAGTTACTGTACTTGTTATATCGTTCGATTTCGACTCCTATAATGTCAAGATAGTACACAAATGTAGTTAATAGCGTTTACATGGCATCATTTTATTATTTTACATGATTTGCGTACCATTATAACGTAATATCCCAGAAGACATATGTCCAATGTACATCCTAAGAACTCGACAAACGATATTAGTTGAAGGGTGCTCTGAGTGCGAGTCAAATATCTGAAAATAAAATTTTCCAACATAAATTGTGAAACTCGTTCAATAATATTTAGTCACCAATTTATTGGTATACGTGTATTTACATATAATACGAATATCTCATTGTACATATAAAATGACTAACATTCACCCTAAGTATCTTCCAAGCCATGAAAGCTAGATTACTACACGTGAGATTACTACGCATTGTATTACCACACGTCGGACTACTACCCATTAGATTCCCACACGTGGGATTAATACGCGTTAGATTACGACACGTGCGATCACCCCGCGTTAGATTACGACACGTGCGATCACCCCGCGTTAGATTACCACACGTCGAACTACTACGCGTTGAATTTTAGAAGCAGTGAACTTGATACGCGTTGAATTTACTACACGTTGAGTATGCAATGCGTTAAATTTTTCACGTGTCGAATTCTGTACGCGTAGAATTTTTCATGCGTCGAATTTGCTGCGCATCGAATTTTCCACGCATCGAGTTGTCATCAAATTGAATTTTTCACACGTTAGTTTTGTTACGTGATATATTTGTCACGCGTTGAATTCTCCACATGTTGAATTCGTCCTATACTCCACGGCAATATAACGATAGTTTAGTACACCTACAAATATCTCATTGCACATTTAAAGTGACTAGCACCATAAGTATCTTCCAAGCCATGAAAGCCAGAAAAACGTCATTAAATAAAAGTTACCCACTACATAGTCTACAAAAAATTAATAAAGCCCAAGTACAGTTTCCAGAGAATTCTTAGTTCCACAATTTACAAAGTGGCGGAAGACACTTACCTGTACCTACATTTTCCAAAATCAAACTAAAAAATCAAATAACAATGAAGAAATATATGTACACACTTCAGAATTCGAACATGTTGATTCACGACGCTGGCAATCCTGGCGTCCACAGTGTCACCTATATCTGATCTACCGTCGATCAAATGTTTCAGCCAGTTCATCAAAACCTCCATCTGTCCGCAAGCGTGAACAGCAAGCATGGCGGCTAATCCGCAAGCGGCTGACGTGATGCCGTGCATCACAGCACCAGCTATCAACTGAAGAAAGAAGACGATCTCGTTCGTGGGACTGTATCTCGTATCTATTATCAGGCTCGAGAATGGAAACACCAGAGGTATGAAGGTGAGATTTTCATCCTTAGCTTGTATTTTACCAACACTGATCGGTAAGGCGATGTAATAGAACGCGAAACCGCTGTACATGAAGAAGGTGCAAAGAGCTATGAGTTGTCTTCCAAATTTCGCGTTCTCCATCATGATTTTCTTATCATCATGGTGACTTATGTCCTTCCAGTCTAATTCGATGCGTTTGATGCAATCGCGTATGTCGTTTTCGTGGAGAATCAATAAATAATACTTCATCAGCGCCATCACGCAGAAACTCGATGGCCCGAAAAATTTGATCTGGTTGTAAACGTCCTCGACTTCTAGGATCACGTACAAACTGCACGGTGCACACAGAAAACTGAGAAAGGCATAACACATTACATTTATCAATCGGTACATGCATTTCTGTGTTCCTGTAACGTCGGATGTTGGCCAGACTCCTATCGGTTTTAAAATCCAACGACACCATTGAATACTCAGGTTCACATTTTTCTCGTAGTCATCAATTGTTTTCTTGTACACGCTTGTTTTTTGCATGGTGAAAGCTCATGTGATACTGAAGGGTTGTTTGATAATGGTTCCAGAGAAAATGCATCAGCGCTTGCGCTTTGTTTCGATTTTTTGCAACAACGTGAGGAATATTACTTCTTTTTAATCGAGTTCTACCCTTCATATCTGCTTTTTTTGCTTTATGCATTATGAACGAGGAATGAGGATATTATGTTGCTTGTGTATCGATACATTGATCTTTTTTGCGCGGTCGCTGGGGTGCAATTTATGTGAGTACTGGTTCAACTGATTGCACGAAACAATTTGTGAGAATCTTTGAGGGGACTGTTTTTTTTGTTTTTATTGAAGTTTGTGAGTTGAGAATTGTGAGACTCATTTTCATTTTTGAGTTCTGTGTATTTTTGTGTTCGATGTAAAACTGTAGTCTTGTATTATTTAGCAGTTACGTGTAATTTCTTTAGTATATTTGTGGTGTTTACGTTTTTATTAACGAAAGATTTAAAGACCCATAAGTGTGTTAGCCCTGTGTATTTCTTTCGTACAAGTCATCAAGTAATTTTTCAAACAATTTAATATAAAATGGTAAATTATTGCCTCAGACGACAAGCAACATATTTAACACTAGGTTTACATACGTTTGATGGTCACATTTAAATTTGAACTAGAGTAGAAAAATAAATTATATTTCAACTGTCTAAGACATTCTTTAGCTTGACGAAAGTTAACAATTTTACAAAAATTTCTTGATAACTTTTGTTATTAAAAATAAGAGATCTATGATTTTTCCGTAAATCTAGTGTTAACAAATAAATAATTGAATCACTAAAAGATCAATAACCAATAAAATATTCAGCACTAAATCTTTATTTATGTACGTTTGCCAAAAAATCTTAATGATAGTGAGCATAAAAAGATATACTAAGACAGACACAAACCATAAAAACAAGTTTTAAAGTACGAACACATTTGTTGCAAATGATATTGCACTTCAGGTAAGACTTACGTCATCGTACGTAGCACATTCAAAAATGCAAATGCTGTTTTAACGACCTACAGAAAGCTTTTGTTAACATATGTTCAGTCAGTGTTAATAGCATTGTACTTACGTTGGTGAATGTCTCAATAGATAACTCGACCATACTTCCTGCTGTCAATTTCATGGACGAATTAGACATCGCAATTATCATTATGCAGTAGAGTTTTTTGTTTCCAGGCAATCGGTACCATTCAGTCATATACGTCATTTCACCAATTTTCTTGCACTATTATAAAAAGAAAATATTAATAATTTAGGAGAAAAAGTATAACAAAATTGTTGTAATTTATTAAACATAACAAAATTAGTCACTTTCATTATACAAAAATCTTAAATTAAAAGGCTAATTAACTACAGGACAAAATAAACAAAATTGTACCTGCTCAGCAACAAGTTCTCCTATGTAACAAAATATAAATATATTAAACGTAAGGGACGTAAGCAAAATGGCATAAGTTACTGTATTTGTTATATCGTTCGATTTCGATTCCTATAATATGAAGATATTATACACATAGTTATTATATAGTATTTACTTAACGGCCATTTTGTTTGCGATTCGCATACCATTATAACGTAATATCCCAGGAGACATATATCCACTGTACATCCTAAGAACTCAGCGAATGATATTAGTTGGAGGGTTCTTTCGGTATGAGTCAAATATCTGAAAGAAGAATTTTTTAAAATATTTCAAGTTGTTTAGTGAAAGATTGTTACATTACTTGGTTACTTTATTTACTAGTATTGTATTATAGCAATATATATTCATATGTTAGATTTGTAAAATAGATTTTGTAGTAGATTTGTTATTGGTTGCGTATGTATGATCTTCATGTATGTAGTAGCTCTCGTTATATTGTCACATGGGGTTTGGGTAGGCTAGGGTAGATAAGGTTGGATTAGGTTAGGTTATATAAGTTATATAGGTTATGTAGGTTATGTAGGTTATGCAGGTTATGTAATTTATGTAGGTTATGTAGGTTATATAGGTTATATAGGTTATGTAGGTTATATAGGTTATACAATAGTTTATATAGGTTATGTAGATTATATAGGTTATGTAGGTAATGTAGGTTATGTAGATTATATAGTGTATAGGTTATGTAGGTTATGTAGATTATATAGTGTATAGGTTATGTAGGTTATATGTATAGATTATATAGGTTATATACTAGATATTGCTGTGCATTAAAACATCACACGTTGAAATTTACACGCATCGAATTATTATGCAATAGATCTCTACGTGTCTTATGGCCACTCGTCAAGTCACCATTCACTGAATTACTACACATTGGATCACTAAGTGTTGCATTAGTATTCTTTCTATTAGTTAACTCCTTGTACTGTTATCACTCATATTTATCTCATATTTTCATAGTGCAAGGTTTTAGTCTACAACACCGCAGTTCCATGCATGTCATATAACGAGGGTACGCTGCACTATTAATTATTTTACAATCTGATGACATACAATGTCGCGTTCGAAGAAGAAAATACTATAACAAAATTTATACTTCAGTCACAATTAACAATAAATTTTCACATAATTCATTTCTGTGAAAACTTCCGAAAATATTTCATTCAATACACACAATTCATTTCTCGATTAGTAATTATATATTAAAGTAACGATGAAATAGTCGCAGAGTAATAGATGTTATACGACAAGTTTAAGAAGAATTCACAAAAATATTTCTAGTTTAATAATTACATTTTAAAGAAACGTTGAAGTAGTTGTAGAGTAGTAGATGTTATAAAGCAAGTTTAAGAAGAATTCACAGAAATATTTCTCGTTTAATAATTACACTTTAAAGAAACGTTGAAGTAGTCGTAGAGTAGTAGATGTTATAAAGCAAGTTTAAGAAGAATTCATAGAAATATTTCTCGGTTAATAATTACTTATTAAAGTAACGATATAATAGTCGTAGAGTAGTATATGTTATAACACAAGTTTAAGAAGAATTCATAGAAATATGTCGATAAAATAGTCGCAGAGTAATACATGTTACAAAACAAGTTTAAAAAGGATTCATAGGAATATGTCGATAAAATAGTCGCAAAGTAATAGATGTTACAAAACAAATTTAAGAAGAATTCATAGGAACATGTCGATAAAATAGTCGCAGAGTAATAGATGTTACAAGACAAGTTTAAGAAGAATTCATAGAAATATTTCGATGAAATAGTCGCAGAATAATACATGTTACAAAACAAGTTTAAAAAGAATTCATAGGAATATGTCGATAAAATAGTCGCAGAGTAATACATGTTACAAAACAAGTTTAAAAAGGATTCATAGGAATATGTCGATAAAATAGTCGCAAAGTAATAGATGTTACAAGACAAGTTTAAAAAGAATTCATAAAAATATGTGGATGAAATAGTCGCAGAATACTACATGTTACAAAACAAGTTTAAAAATTCCCAAAAATACATATACATACTTCAAAATTCGAACATGTTGACTCACGATGCAAGCAATCCTGTCGTCCACACTCTCCCCCATATCTGACCTCCCATCGTTCAAATGTTTCAGCCAGTTCATCAAAACCTGCATCTGCCCGCAAGCATGAACAGCAAGCATGGCCCCCAAACCGCAAGCAGCCGACGTAATTCCGTGCATCAAAGCTCCAGCTATCAACTGAACCGAAAATATGATCTCATTGGTCGGACTATACCGTGTGTCGACTATCAGACTCGAAAAGGGAAACGCCAGTGGTATGAAGGTCAGATTTCCATCCTCGGATTTGACTTTGCCGATGGTGATCGGTATGATGATATAATAGGACGCGAAACCGCTGTACATGAAGAAGGTGCAGACGGTCACCAATCTCCTCCCAAAATTCGCGTTCTCCAGCATGATATTTTTGTCATCATGGTACGTGATGTTCTTCCAGTCCCATTTGATGCGCTCGATGCACTCGCGGATGTCGTTTCCGTGGTAGATCAACAGGTAATATTTCGCGAACGCCATCAGAAAGAAGATTAGAGGTCCGAAGAGTTTGATCTTGTTGTACAGGTCCTCTACCTCGAGGAACACGTACATGCTGCACGGAACGAACAGGAAGCTGATCAAACCGTAGCAAACGACGTACGTGAACCAGTCATACAGCTTCTTGGTTCGCGACATGTCGCTATGAGGCCATATACCGATCGGCTTCAGCAGCCAACGGTTCCATTGGATGCTCAGGTTGACGTGTCTCTCGTACTCGCTGTCTTTTCCGGATTTCTGCATGGTTAGTGCTTGAAAGCTTGGCGAAGACTAGGAGCTCGCAGTATCAAGATTGTAAAGAGACCGCGTCGCGCTTGCGCTAATTTTTTTGGATCACTGGTAAGTTTACAGAGGGTAGAACCCTTCTGTTATGGCGCTATTTTACATTTATGAGCAGTGTAGACCGCAAGATAATAGGATTCATCGATTTCCGAAGTGCACAATATTTGTTGAGGCTACTGACGTGCTGTGTGAATGAATTAATAGAAGTGATAGCTACTTTGTATGTAATTCTTGCTGTAGTTTCAAGTGTGGGATATATGTGATACTATTACTTGTAGAAGAGGAAGCATCAGGGGACGGTTTGTTAGTATTTAGATTTTATTTTTATTAAATTAGTGAAAGTGGAGTTTTCATTGTGGTAGATGTTGTCGTTGAACAGAAAGCTTCAAAGTACGTTAATTAGTGATCTGCTTATTAAGGTATATTAATTAATGATTTAATTTAGAAGGATAATTGTGTTTATTTGATACGAACATCATCGAACTTGGCATAAATCAATATTATGATATTTTTCATTTGATAATACTTCATTTCGAACAATAACAAACGTAAAACTGAATAAATCACTAAAAGAAATAATTCATTAAATATTTAATACCTTGATTTATTTAAAAAAATGTACACCAAAAATCTTAATATATGTAAGTATACAAAGATAAACAGACACCAGTACAAACCATGCAAACATGTTTCCGAGTATAAACACATTCATTTGTATAAATAATATTGCACTTCGAGGTACATTTACGTCGTTGTACGTAAAACGTTCAGGAATGCAACTGCTGTTTTAACAACCTACGTGTAGATAAAACATTTATTAATTTTCAGATTGAATGAATGTCAACAGTACTTACGTTGGTGAAAGTCTCAATGGATAATTCAACCATGTTTCCGGCTGTCAATTTGATGGATGAATTAGACATCGCGATTATCAAGATGCAGCAGAGTTTTTTGTTTCCAGGTAATCGGTACCATTCGATCATATACGTTGCTTCGCCAATTTTTTTGCACTATTATGAAACAAAATATTAATTAGTAATTTAGGAGAAGTTTTTTAAGTATAACAAGGTTTGTATGTTCATTATTTAAAAATTTAATTAAAAAGTTATTTAACTAAGAGATAAAGTAAACGGAATACCTGCTCAGCAACAAGATCTCCTATGTAACAAAATATAAATATATTAAACGTAAGGGATGTTAGCAAAATGGCATAAGTTACTGTACTTGTTATATCGTTCGATTTTGACTCCTATAATATCAAGATAGTAGACAAATATAGTTAATAGCGTTTACATAGCACCGTTTCATTATTTTATGTGATTTGCGTACCATTATAACGTAATACCCGACAAGACAAATATCCAATGTACATCCCAAGAACTCAGCCATTGATATTAGCTGAAGCGTTCTCTCAGTGTGAGTCAAATATCTGAAATAAAATTTCCCAACTTAAAATGTGAAAATCGTTCAATAATATTTAGTCACCCAATTTATTGGTATACGTGTATATACTGTACAAATATCTTCTTGCACATTTAAAGTGACAAACATTCACCCTAAGTATCTTCCAAGCCATGAAAGCTAGATTACTGCACGTTAGATTACCACGCGTCGGATTATTACGCGTTAGATTACCACACGTCGGATTATTACGCGTTAGATAACTACGCGGAGGGTTACTGCGCGTTAGATTACCACCCGTCGGATTACTACGTGTTAGTTTACCACACGTGGGATTATTACGCGTTAGATTACTACGCATGGGGTTACTACGCGTTAGATTACCACCCATTGGATTACTACGCGTTAAATTACCACGCGTCGGATTACTACGCGTTAGTTTACCACACGTGGGATTATTACGCGTTAGATTGCTACGCGTAGGGTTACTACGCGTTAGATTACCACCTGTCGGATTACTACGCGTTAGATTACCATACGTGGGATTACTTCGTGTCTGATTACCAGTCGTCGGACTACTACGTGTTAGATTACCATACATGGGATTACTTCGCGTCAGATTACCACTCGTCGGACTACTACGCGTTAGATTACAACACGTCGAATTACTACGCATTCTATTTCCACACGCTGGATCACTACGTGTTAGATTACCACTCGTCGGACTACTACGTGTTAAATTACCACACGTCAGATTACTACGCATTCTATTACCACACGCTGGATCACTACGTGTTAGATTACCACACGTGGAATTACTATGCGTTAGATTGCCACACGTCAAACTACTACGCGTTGAATTTTATAAGCACTGAACTCGATACGCGTTGAATTTACTACACGTTGAGTATGCAATGCGTTAAATTTTTCACGTGTCGAATTCTGTACGCGTAGAATTTTTCATGCGTCGAATTTGCTGCGCATCGAATTTTCCACGCATCGAGTTGTCATCAAATTGAATTTTTCACACGTTAGTTTTATTACGCGATGTATTTGTCATGCGTTGAATTCTCCACATGTTGAATTCGTCCTACTACTATCCACGGCAATATAACAAGAGTTTATCTCACCTACAAATATCTCATTGCACATTTAAAGTGACTAATATCCTAAGTATCTTCCAAGCCATGAAATCCAAAAAAATGACATTAAACAAAAGTTACACACTATATGCAATAAGCAATTAGTAAATTGCCCAAGTGCAGTCCCCAGAGAATTCCTAATTCCACAATTTACAAAGTGGCGGAAGACACTTACCTATACCTACATTTTTCGAAAACAAACTAAAAAGTCAAATTACAATGAAGAAATATATGTACACACTTCAGAATTCGAACATGTTGACTCACGACACTGGCAATCCTGACGTCCACAGTGTCACTCATATCTGATCTACCGTCGATCAAATGTTTCAGCCAGTTCATCAAAACCTCCATCTGTCCGCAAGCGTGAACAGCAAGCATGGCAGCTAACCCGCAAGCGGCTGACGTGACGCCGTGCATCAAAGCACCAGCTATCAACTGAAGAAAGAAGACGATCTCGTTCGTCGGACTGTATCTCGTATCTATTATCAGCCTCGAGAATGGAAACACCAGAGGTATGAAGGTCAGATTCGCATCCTCATCTTGTATTTTACCCACACTGATCGGTATGGCGATATAATAGAACGCGAAACCGCTGTACATGAAGAAGGTGCAAATGGTCACCAATCTTCTTCCAAAATTCGCGTTCTCCAACATGATATTTTTATCATCGCTGTACGTGATGTTCTTCCAGTCCCATTTGATCCGTTCGATGCACTCGCGGATATCGTTTTCGTGAGAGATAAACGAATAGTATTTCGTGAACGCCATTATGCAGAAGATTAACGGTCCAAACAGTTTGATCTTGTTGTACAGATCCTCTACCTCGAGGAACACGTACACACTGCATGGAACGAACAAGAAGCTGATCAAACCGTAGCAAATAATATTCGTCAACCAGTGGTAGCATTTCTTCGTTCGCGAAATATCGGAACGTGGCCATATACCGATCGGTTTCAGCATCCAACGGTTCAACTGCATGCTGAGGTTGACGTGTTTCTCATATTCGTATTCAGTTCGAGAATTTTGCATGGTTAACGTTCTAAAGCTTGCTGAGAACTAAAAGCTCGCGGAGATTGCAAAGGAAACCGCTTACGCTCAATTTTTTTTAAGTACTCGGAAGTTTAGATTTCGCAAAGGTTCACCCTTCTGTGATTGCGCTATTTTCGTTTTACGCATTTATGAGCTGTGTAGACCGCAAGATAATAGTTCGGGATTGGTAAATCGATTTCTACCCTGTACAATATTTGATGCTACTCCGGTCGTGCAGTGCGAATAATTTAAGGAATGAACGATTGTGGACGCTTTTGTATGCAATGCTTGCTACAACTTCATACGTTCGACATATGTGATACAATTATTCGTGCAGGAAACGTAGATATTTTTAACTCCGTTTTATCAGCATTTAGATTTTATTTATTAAAAATCATTAAAAGACGTGGATTCTTAAGTTTAGTTGCTGGTGCAGCTTAAAAATTCACAGTTTTTACAAAAAGCTTAAAAATTCGTTAAATAGTAAGTTCGCGTTGCACGATTTAGTCGTAGAGTAAAATGGTTGTATCTTGATCGTTCACGAAAATTTGCGCAACACGTTTAGAAACGCGACTGATGTCTTCACAACCTGTTTGTATTTGAAACATTCGTTGAAAGTGAACATTTTAATAGTAGTTTAATTGTTTTAAGTGAGTAGTTTCTTGCTTACGTCTGTAAAGGTGCCAATGGAGAGTTCAACCATGTTTCCAGCTGTGAGTTTGATGGAGGAGTTGGACATTGCCATTATCAAAATACAGAACAGCTTCTTGTTGCCTCGTAATCGGTACCAGTCAATCATGTATGACATTTGGCCAACGTTTCTGCACTGATAAGAGATGCTTTGAGTTCCTAATTATTCTGTTGTTCATTAATGGAAAAGGAAAATAATAATTCATAACGTTTGATATATCTTCACTACTTTCTGCATGGGGAGTCATTGTGTGTTATGCTGTGCTACATGTCATGTGTGATGTGTTCAAGGACTTTTAATAAATAAGTATTTTAACAATCTTAAAAATTTGCCAATAATTTTCTTAATATCATAATAATTATTTATAAATTATGTAGTTAGAGTAATTGTTTAAAAAAAAAAAAACAGTATGAGGTTAATGTTTAATTGATCATACCTGTTCAGCCACAAGCTCGCCTATATAACAAAATATGAAAATATTGAAAGCAAGTGACGTGTACAGTATCACGTAACCTACAGTAATCGTTATATTCTTCGAATTCCATTCCTACAATATTAAAACGTAACAATTTTAATTTTACATTAATTTTCTTCTGCTTATTCGTACTTCATTCGCATACCGTTATAATATAATATCCAACGAGGCAGAGATTCAATACACATGCTAAAAATTCGGCGAAAGATATCTGTTTGAAAGTTTTTTCTGTCAATGCTAAAAATCTGAAAAATTTGGGAACAAATCAGGTAGTACTTTCGTTCTTAAAAAAATTGTAGTTCATACTTCAAATTTGGGACAATTTTAATACCTCTATTGCAATTTTAGCTAATTATGTGGTGAAATACAGTAGACGCTCGTTATATGGCTGTTTTGTATATGTATTGCAAGTGTAAGTTCCTTTTCGTGTTTCATCCTTATGTTGGGTATTCACAAGTTTGATAACTACGCGTTGGATATCGACAAGTTGGTTAACTACGCGTTAGATATTCACAAATTAGATATTGACAAGTTGGTTATCTACAGGTCAGATATTCACAAGCTGGATAACTACGCGTTGAATATCCACAAGTTGGATAACTACGCGTTGGATATCGACAAGTTAGATATTGACAAGTTGGTTAAGTACGCGTTAGGTATCCAGAAATTGGATAACTACGCATTGGATATTGTCGCGTTGGATATCCACAAGCTTGCTAACTACGTGTTAGATATTCACATGCTGGATAACTATGCGTTAGATAACCACAAGTTGGATTACTACGCGTTGGATATTGTCGCGTTGGATATCCACAAGCTTGATAACTACGCGTTAGATATCCACAAGCTGGGTAACTACGCGTTAGATATCCACAAGCTGGATAACTATGCGTTAGATAACCACAAGTTGGATAACTACGCGTTGGATATTGTCGCTTTGGATATTGACAAGTTGGTTAAGTACGCGTTAGGTATCCACAAATTGGATAACTACGCGTTGGATATCCACAAGCTTGATAACTACGCGTTAGATATCCACAAGCTGGATAACTATGCGTTAGATAACCACAAGTTGGATAACTACGCGTTGGATATTCACAAGTTGGTTATTCACAAGCTTGATAACTACGCGTTAGATA